ATGGATTACGGTAGACGTGGGGGCTCGTACTTTTGGTAAACCGAGAAGATGAGATTAGATTTCCTGCTTTATTTTTTCATTTGAGAAGTGAAATGGAGGGTTAGTTGGGTTAAGGCGGTTGACCCAACTTTTCTCAATTCTGGAAGAACGCTGTAGAGCTTCAAACATATTACAATTTGAACTTACAAATATCTTATGAAGAATTGTAAGGTTTCTATCTAATTAGAGTGCAAAACCATTTAATTGAGTAGATTGTCTCTTCACAAACCCCTTTGCACTTCCGAGCTGAACTCGTCTCACCTCCTTTTCCTAACTCCAAAAAAAAAATCCCACTTCGTGCATTTATGCCCCTCTCAAAGCACCCGCCTAGCCTTGCAACCTCATCAACGCTTTGCAAAGAGGGAGAAGAATAGTCACGAAGAGAAAAGTGAAGAGTTGGGCGACAGATGTGCTGAGCAGTCACAGAAAAAGAGTAGCAAGTGCGAACATCTGCGAGCAAAGTGGTTAAACATCGACGAACGACGTTGGCGATCAACGTCGTTTCCCGACGTTAACGTCGATCGATGACGCAGCGATGAAGACAACTTTTTTCTCGAGATCAGCATGTCTGAGGAAGAGTTCATTCTGAGAAATTGTTGTTTCCTCACCTTAGGTCAGGAAAATCAGAGAAAAGTGAATGCTTCACTGCTTGGGAGTGAAGTAAATTCATAAAAAGACCCAAATCTTCGTATAGAAGGACGAATTCTCATAAGAGGCTGTTTGAGCTGTAAAGTTGTTGGAACGGGTAATTTTCGCTATGAAATCCACTTTGCCTCTGTTCTTATTTGCCAGTAAAACATAGTCGAGGCAATCACAGCTTAAATTGTGGGAAGATTTCGGTCCTTGGAAAATCTCTCGGATGACTCCTGAAATGTGTTTGCCTTCATGTTACAATATCTAGGGCTCAAGTGATCTATAACTTGAACAGTGAATCTTCAAACCTTCTTCCACAGTAATTTGAGGATAGATATCGTTAAATTGTTGACCAAATGTCAAAA